TTTGATCATTGAGCTGTTTATTACTTCCATCAAACTATATGGGACGGTTCATGCATGAATCGTCAGCGTGCATGGCCTCAAGAAATTCTCGGCCAAATAGGATGGTCCGTCTCTACACGCATTCACGGGTACCAACTGCTTGTGAAAAAAACGTGAACATTTATCTGAAGTGGCTATGCATAGCCTTGATATAGGACACAGCTTCGCATGGGACAAAACGCTTATCTTCGGAGTTTGCCCCTCCAGAAAGGCCAATAATTTTTTGAGGCCATGCGCTCGGACGGCACCTTAATCAACCGCCACATAGAGTTAGATGAAATTTATAAACATCTCAAAGAACGGTGGAAGAGACAAGGGCCACATAATGCAGACTGAGAGAGGCCACAACTACCAGTCAGGTTGCAGACCATATGACTATTATTCTTCCGCGTGCTTGGAAGTTTAGGTGTTCTTTGCATATTTCTCGTTAGTCCAAAGACGAGCTAGAGAACCAGTCTCGAAATTTCACTGATTAAATTTACCTTCTTATCCCAAAGTACATCTTTTCCTATAAATTACATTTCTCGGGATGCGTGATTTCCACTTTGTACGAAAGAGGTATCATGTATATTTTAAACAATATCGCTTTTCAGATTACTGTGCTTCTATTTTTTTCGGATGCAGTTTCAACAGACCACAGCGTATCCTTCAGATAAATAACAGTCTCCTGTGCCTTGCGCCTAAGAATAAACTATTGCCTATAAAGACGCAAGTTTCAAGTTTTCTCTGCTAGTGCAAGTCTTTTGTTGTTCTCTTAGAAGTGTGAAATAAATAGATGGAACATTTTTGAAACAAACGACAGATAATACTTATAGTTTACCTGCAGGAACTTGACATTGACAATTCTCGTCAATAAACCCAGGTGCTGCGCAATGTGGGGGCTTCTTGCATCTCTCTGAGATTTCGGTTGGCAAAAGAGACAACAAAATATAGGTCAGAGGTTGATAGATTGGCATGTAGATTACGCCGAAATGAAGATAAATATAATTAATTTAAACCCCGGACTATTCCTCTGCTCATTCCAATATAAATATTGTTATAATTATGAAGGCCGGTTGTTGACCAATCGTGTCTAGTTTTCGGGGAAATTTGAGTGCCCGCACATCACGCAGGAATACATATTGCGTGGGAGGCTCCTCATTGTTTCTGATAACATTAGATAGGAAAAGTAACCGTTTAATTTTCTTTCTCCGTTTCTCTTTGTTCGCGTAATATCTACAATAGCAGCTAAGTTGCAGATCTCCTGTTTAAAGGAATTTATAGATTCTGTTGTGTAATCTTATCCACTACTGTAGACGGCTGAAAGGGAGTTTGTGTCTCTTGGACTAGCAGCATCGTTTTGTTTATGACGTGCATCCGAAGGAGCCACCTTACCTTTTTACTTCACGCCCTGATCCCATATCGAGTATGCAACAAGGATGTGTCAATTTGTCTCTATGGTACCGATACATTAAGCGTAAGAACCACTAAAAAGTAAATGTCACAATGCCCCATTGCATAGTATAAAAGTAAAAAAAAACATACTTGCACATTCATAATGTTGATTTATGGCTCTGGCATCCCAGAAAGATATGTCTTTTGAATTAACTTCTGTCAAGACATGTTGAAGGGCAGGGTCCCTCACAGTGATTGCTGGCTTATTGGCATCAAGTGCGAAAGCCTAGTAAAGCAGAAAGTAAGGAAGACGTACGTTTTTGGCAGAAATTGTTAATGTGGACCCCGATCCGCTCTCCACACTTAATTCTAAAGATCCTTCCCAAAGTAAAGTTTCTCAAATTATTTTGAACATTTTAACAATTGCTTGACTCAGAGCATCCTCAACGCAGGACAAAATTAAAAGGGACGTAATTTCCCCCAGCGTAAGTACACAAAACAATATTTTATTATTGGTTTGTACACCGATCTATTTCTCAGGATGTGCCCATCCTG